TTATTCTCATGTCATTCTTGAATTGTTTCTTTCAGTGCCAAGGATATGAAGCATCGTCTGGGTGTCTTGCTGCAGAAGTCAGACTCCTGTGACTATGGCTTTCCACAGGGCAAGAAGGAGAAAGTATCACCAAGCCAGAGGTAAGAGCCGTGTTGCCATGCAGTTGAGCAAAGGTTGGCTGCAATGTGCTGTTTACTCCTGCAGTGAGATGGAGTCATTAGCATTTCTGCTGCTGCTGCTGCTTCATAGTGCCTCCTGAACTCCTGTGTGCTTGAATCCAGAATTGAATGCACTCTCAATAAGTTTGCAGATGACACCAAGCTGGGAGGAAGTGTCAGTCTGCCTGAGGGTAGGAAGGCCCTACAGAGAGATCTGGATGGGCTGATCGCTGGACTGAGGCCAATGGGACGAAGTTCAACAAGATGAAGTGCCAGGTGCCGCACTTTGGTCACAACAGCCCCATGCAATGGTGCAGGCTTGGGGCAGAGTGGCTGGCAAGCTGTGTGGAGGAAAAGGATCAGGGCTGTTGGTCAATGCTCAGCTGAACATATAAGCCAGCAGTGTGCCCAGATGGCCAAGAAGGTCAACAGCATCCTGGCTTGTATCAAAAATAGTGCATCTGGCAGGAGCAGGAGGTGATCATCCCTCTCTATTCAGCTCTAGTGAGGCCACACCACAAGTGCTCTGTTCAGTGTTTGGCCCCTCACTACAAGAAAGACATTGATGCCCTGGAGCGTGTCCAGAGAAAGGCAAGAAAGCTATGAAGAATCTGGAATACAAACCTGATGAGAAGGGACTGAGGGAACTGGGAGTGTTTAGTCTGGAGGAGGCTCAGGGGTGACCTTATTGCTCTCTACACCAACCTGAAAGGAGGCACTGGCACAGGCTGCCCAGGGAAGAGTCACTGTCACTGGAGGTGCTCAAGAACCATGTAGATGAGGCACTGAGATGTGGTTAGTGGGCATGCTGTGAGTGGGCCGATGGTTGGACTAGATCTTCTTAGCGGTTTTTTTCAACTTCAATGATTCTATGATTCTCCCTTTTTCTCCTGACAGGGTTAGCCAAGAGGAAGTCAAAAAGTGGGCAGAGTCATTGGAAAATTTGATCCATCATGACAGTAAGTAAAGAGTTTCCTTCTGCTGATGCTGATGCTGAGGAGGAGATGCTGAGGGTCCTGCCAGCAGCCAACATGCCTAGCAGTCCTAAGAGGCATGGGGTGTTATCTTGTGTCTTTTAACAGCACGATGTAGCTCCTTTGGCCTCTGGGAGGGGTGGTGAAGGGTGCTGTATGTGAGATCCAAGGGGCATCAAGAGCGGCGCTTTGGCTGACTGCTAGGCTGTCCCTTTTGTGAGGGCAACTGTTCCACTCCTGTGCCAGATGATTTCAGGAGCAGCAAGACTGCAGCACGCAGTCTTTAACATTGGGTTAAACAAGAGGCAGAAAGCAGAGAAGCTATTTCCAGCTGAGTCTCCATGGGAGACTTTGTCTTCCTATCAGTTCCAGACCACACTGATGCCCCTGAGGTTTCCTTCACGCCATTCCCATGGCCTGAGACTCTGCAGCATATGCTAGCTGGCTCCTCAGGTCCTTCTGGGATCATACAAGTTGCTTGTGTTCTGGCTGAGCCACTGAGGGTCACAGTGTGGGGGCAGGCAGCTGAGGACCCACGTCTGACATCCCAGTGGGACCTGCCTGAATTCCAGCCTCCTTTGGCCTGCACGAGCTGCTGCTGTGGAGGCTGGAGCTGTTGCCAGCGGAAAGGAATTGCTCAGTCAAGGGTAATCCAGAACTGCTGTTTGCTGAGGCATATGGTGTTCATATGTGTTGACCAAACCCAGAAATTACGCTCTTACCTGCTCTGATTTTCCTCTATAAACCCTATATATTTTCCTCCATGATCTGTAGGAGGTCTGGCTGCTTTCCGTGCTTTTCTCAAATCTGAGTACAGTGAGGAAAACATCGAGTTCTGGGTCAGTTGTGAGGACTACAAGAAAACCAAGTCACCAGCCAAGCTCAGCCCCAAGGCCAGGAAGATATATGATGAATTCATCTCTGTGCAGGCAACAAAAGAGGTATGTGCACAGAATATTTTTTGGGCATAGATTGGCATATATATGAGCACCCTTCACACGACATTATACATGACATAGACTCCAGGTCCTGAACCAGGCCAGAAATAGGGAAAAGAATTCTGGTAGTTTCACAAGAATTGAAAAGTGCCTCTTCTCTTGTGCTTAGCAAGGAAATAGTGTCATCTTTATTGTGTTAATATTTAACTTGGATAGAGAGAAAGTGGGTCTAGTTATGTGGCCATCCCACATGCACACTCAGGTGGGAAAAGCCCAGGAGGATGCTGATTCCCAGTGTTCCACCTCCTCATGAAGTTGCTTGAGGTTGGTGCCGGGCTGAATCCCAGAGGAGCATGTGTCAGTCTGCCCTGACAATTCATCTAGCAGAAGAGATGCATTGGTGTCCATCTGCATGGATTATTTGAAGGCTACAGGGTGTCCAAGGGTCATTTCAGACCACTGCCCACACGGACAGATTAAGTTTACTTGGTGGAGTTAGGAGGCACTTGGATATGCTAACCATTCCTGGGACAGATGCTACTTATGCTGTCCCTTTGGCCCACAGGTCAACCTGGATTCATGCACACGGGAGAAGACGAGCCACAATATGCTGGAGCCTACACTGTCCTGCTTTGATGAGGCTCAGAGAAAAATATTCACCCTCATGGAGAAGGATTCTTACCGCCGTTTCCTCAAGTCCCCCTACTACCTGGACTTGGTCAGCCCACCCACAGCTGGCTGTGGGCCCGAAAACTGCAAAAGAGCCCAGGCTCATGCCATAGACTGTAACTCTAATATCATCTCCCAGTGTGCCTGAACCTGCAGTGAGGTCAGGAGCAGGCTGGGCTCTCGTAGGAATATATGGCAGCAAAAGCATTCATTGGCATGAAGCAACAGAGCTGTCTTCAGTAGCTGTCTAATGTCCCCATTGTGTCCCGTGTCATGCAGCAGCCAGCATTTGTAACCCAAACCAGGCTCAGTTTGTGTAGCAAACCCTCCGACTCCGACTGTGTAGGAGCCCTGGGGTCTGTCTGATGTGAGAGCGCAGTGAGGTCACTGTGGGTCCATTTCTGACAAGCACTGAGCCCAGGAGGGTGGGAGCAGCAGGGAAGGGGCACACACACTCACACCTAGTGCTGGCCACAAAGGGAACAGTCTCATGGTGTCATGGTGTGACGCGTAGCAAGGAGCAGGGAGGCCACGCAAGGTGGTGAGGACTGATACCTCTCACCCCTTCTAATCAGCAAGAGCTTAGGTGGGAAGGAAGGACTTGGTCTGGTCCTCAGCTGTTTGTATAGCTCCCAGCTATCAGGCACAGGAAGAGCTCCACTCTTTCTTGAAGGGAGATCAACACTTTCAGACTAGCACACAGTCTCCTATGATCATTACACAAAATTGCATGAAAGCTCTCTCCGAGCTGCTTTTCCTGTCTGTAGCATCTAGATGAAGTTGGCTGAGGACCTTATCTTTTTTTAAGGCTGCACAGAGCTATTATTTGGGGGGAGGTTCAGTTTTTTGAACGTAATTGTACCCTTCACACTCCCAAACTAAATCTACCATTCTTACACTATAGCAGAGCAGAACTGAAACATGTTCCTTCTCTTCTAGACAGATATTAGTAACTCTTGAACGCAGGTTTGCCTGTCCTGACTTGAATGAAGCAATTTGTAATGGACTAAGACCACTACAACAGCTAAGGAGGGAAGGCACTGCTTGGGAATACTTGAAATATTACAGGCTTTTTTTTTTTGTTAGTTTGTTTGCTTTTTAAGTTATTAATGTAAGTTATTCATGTCATTCAGTAGTTGTATTACTCACTTTTGTCCTGAAGGTGGTGGAAGGGGTGTGCTGGCCTCACTACTGCTCCTGGGCTCTGGTCGTACTCTCCCCAGCTCTCAGTCTTTCCCTAGCTGGAAATTGCTGCTCTGACAGCCATACATTCCTCACACTGCATCCCAGCTCAGACAACTGTCCTCACAGGGGTTCTGACATGGCAGAAGGCTGTGGCTCTCCAGTAGGTGCTTTGAGGCCCACACAAAAGCGTCTCTTCTCACATTTGCTTTCTTTTGCATTTCTTTGTGTGCTGACACATACCACCCTGCATGTTCAGCTGCAAGATGGAGAGCTTCTAATACTCTGAGCATAGCTGAGCATGTGGCTATGTTTTATTTGCCTCTGGTACTGGGAACTCTTGACAACTCTTGCAAAAAAAATGTATTGATATTTAAATAATAATGAATACATACTAAATAAAACATATTTGGATTAGTCCCTGCTAAAGTGCTGTTGTGTGAACCAAAGAATGCGCGGTGATGCAATTCACTGACTAAAGTTCCTCTGAAAAGTCATTTCACAAGTGGCTCTGCTCCCATTGTTTTAAATCGGGGAAGGGTGAAGCAGCCATTAAACCCCTACAGGTGTGCTCCCCCGCAGAGGCATCCATCATCTTGGGGCAGGGAGTAGGGGTGGGCTTTTTGGGGTCCATGCTGTTCCTAACAGGAAATGCCCACCCTCGTCACAGGGCTGGGGTGAGCGCAGGGCCACCCATGGAGGGAGGAACCTCCTCATTGCAAATCCCTGGTGTCCCATGTGCCTCTGCAGCTGGGATCTCCCCTTCCCCACCTGCACATCACAGCTCCAGAGGGAAGCACACTGCAGCTCAGGGCTCAACCTGACCATGTGCCCAAGCACTGCAGAGGTAGAGCTGCCCACTGGGGGATGCCCAGGCTGGGCTGGCGCCAGGGATTTCCTCCGCTCTAGTCTCTTGGGGTGGTATTTTTATTCTCTTTTCCAGTTTCTTGGGAAACTGACACATCTGGCACAGCTGAAGCTCTCAGAAGACTTTGCTGCTTGCCAGGGCTTTGGGAGTGCCCTCTGGAAGGTAAGGATGCTGCCCCTTCGACACAGAGACAGAATAAATAGCCCATTGAGACAGTAGCAGAAATAAATGTTTATACGTGGATTACTGAGTGGTACAAGAATGTGGGTTAATGCAACCAGTTCCTCAGTGTACATCAACATCCCGCATCTTCAAGCATGGAAACCACATGGAGAACATCAAACTGAGAAGCAGCTCCTTGGACCTGTAAGGAGCCCATCCTGCTCCAACCTTGGATGTTGGCCATGGCCCTCTGCATTCCCAGCCAGGGAGCCCAGACCAGTGGCCAGGGGCTGGGCTGAACCCTGGGACACCCTCAGCCACCCATGGGCACCAATGGCCATCCCATGCTGGGATGGTGCTGGGGCCCAGGCTGCATCATGGGGTTGCCTTGCCCCATGGCAGAGGAGGGTCCCCAGGCACCCTATGGGCCTTGGAGTGCACAGTGCCAGAGCAATGGCACAGGGTGGCCTCTAAGGGTGTGAGGGAGGATGCACCTCTCTTTTCAGCAGGTGAGGGGCTGAGGTTTCCCTTGGTGGTGTTGGGAACCATGCTAAATCCATTTACTTATCCCTCAGACCCCAGGCACCATATCCTGCACTTTGATTCACAGACTGACTTGGATCTGGATGCCAATATTAAGAGTATGTATATGTGTGTGTGTATACTTAAGTATGGACGCAACGTTATAGATGTATAATGTCATGTGAAGAGTGCTCATATATATGCCAAACTTGGTAAAAGCAAGAGTGACAAAATACATGAAGCATTTGCTACCAGAGATATGATGGTTGTTACTAACTTAGCAAACACTCCTGGGTCTGCAGAAAGCCTGGCCATGCGGTGCAAGCATCGCTATGTTTCCAGGTAAGCATGCCCAAACGAGCCTTCTACACAAACACAACTTCACAAGAGCTCCAAAACACTTTGGGGGCACAATTCATGGCCACCCTGTTCCTTGCTGGAACTGTTACATCACCCCTAAAGCAAGTTTCCAACATTTTCAGTAGAGGTCGAGCTGGGGTAGGATTCCCAATGGGTCTGTTTCACCTCCATGGCCTTCAGCTTTCTTTTGGGCATTCACATACCCCAGCCCTGTTTTTCTGCCCCACGCAGAGCTGCTGCAGCCAATGACATCCCAGGTTTTCTTTGCACATTCAGCTTCCAGTAGAATCCAAACTTCAAGAGCGTCAACATCAGTGTTCAACTGCGAAACACGTGAGGGTATCTAGAAATAGCTGCCAAAGCATTCGTGGGAATTAAAGGTCTGGGTCTTTCCATGGAGAAGCCTGGTTGGATTTGCATTTCTATGCTGTGAACAGGGAGGTTAAACATGCCAGACTTGGAAATGGTAGCACCTCTTCATGAAGACGTGCGGGTTGTGGTGGGGATATCCTGATGGTGGCACTTCCTGAGCCTCCTGCCTACTCCTGCCATGCACCCATGCTGAGGTTATCCCACATCTTTGGGCAGCTTGAGCCACTCCAGAGGATTTGCCAGCCTCACCTGCTGCTCCAGCTCCGACTTTCCCAGCCACTTGCTTGAGAGGAGAAAAAAAAGCCACTGCCAACATCATGCTTATGGTCGCCTTCATCTTTCCCCTGTATCCCCTCCCTGCCTGGAAAATGCAGCCCACTTCCTGTGGTATTTTTATTCGTTGCCATAGTGACAGCATGTAAATATTTGGGTTTACTGAGGTTTGATCCGATTCTGTAAATGCTGAAGAGGCTGTGTGGAGCCTCATAGCCTAAAGTTTAGCAGTCTGAGTGCAGGTGGGTGCAGGCAGTGAGTCCCTGCCTGCTGCTCCTTGCACACAGATGCTGCAGGGATCCCCCAGGGATGGGGCTCAGCTCATTCCACATCCAGAGACTCTCTGGTTCGGGGCTGGATGAGGCCCCAGCTACTTTTTGCATGTGCCTTTGCCCCATCGTCAGATGCAATTTCTTCTGGTAGCAGACAGCGGGCTGGATTTGGATTGCTTGAAAAGAGGTGGTCTTTTTAGGAGATCGCCTTGTAGAAACACGTGCCCTGGGCAGAGAGAGGGAGACAGAAGAGAGAGGCAGGCTACACAAACTCAACAGAGTTTGTTATCTGTTCAAGAAGATGGGGTTTTATTGTTCATATTTCCAATGACATCTTTGGCTTTGCTGTTTGCTTGCTTTATGTTCCCTGGAATTTGCTCTGACGGGCTTCACCCAGCAGCTCTTTTCTCCCCCAGCATGACAGTCCTCCTTCCTCTCACCTGTGCCCCTGGTTTGGGTTTGTGCAGAAGTATCGCTGTGGCATGCCTGCTGCAGAGAAGCAACCAGAGAGAGAAGCGATCACAGCAGCACCCCCAGAGATGCCACCAGGCTGCATGTGGACAGTAGGGATGCAGCTGCGGACTGGAAACTATGAGCTTGGTACATAGGGTTGCTAAACAATGCCAGTGTTTTGAACTAGTCAGGCCCTGGAGCATCACCTGGTGATCCTGTGAGCTGGTCCTCTATGGGAAAGAAAGGAGACACTGGGACATCTGAGAGTCCAAAGCACTGAGGCAGGTGTTTAGCAGCATTCCTAAGTGCTCTTGTAGGGTGGCATCATGAAAGCAAAGTGGCTATAGGAGTAGGTGCTGAGACAGAAGCAATAGGGCTGCCCGTGGTGAGCTGCCTCATGCAGCCTGGCCGCATTGCTACTTGATTAACTCTTGATAAAACTCCGACCGCACGAATCTGGGCAGGGAATCTTTCTCCATCAGAGCAAAGATCCTCTTCTGAGCCATATCAAAACTGCTCGGCGATGGCTCCACCAGGTTCTTCATGGTCACAGCCTTGGTGAAGTGGTCAATGTTCACCTGCGATGGGAGCGTGAGAAGGATGGAAGCTTCACGTTTGTGAGGGGATGGTGCCATCTCCTCACCTGCTCTATCCCACTAAAAGGTCATGGGGACAGACCTGGCAGGTCAGCCAGGAGAGGGCTGAGGGTGGCTGCTAAGTCTGCAAACAAGGCACCAGAGCTGCTGCAAGCCCCGTGGCTGTGGCACAGCCTGCCCTGCAGCCATCAGCTAGAGGAACCCCCACCCCTCCCAGCACCATCCCCACCCTGCAGTCACCAACCTCTTTGGGTGCTTCGGTCTGGATGAACTCCTCATAGATCCTCTTGGCCTTCTCTTCCATCTTCACAGGGGACTTGGTCTTCTTGTAGTCCTCACAGGCCACCCAGAACTCAACATTCTCCTCACTGAACTCGGAGCACAGGAAGGTGCGGAAGCTGGCGAGCCCATCTGCAGGGGTCAGGCACTGCTGAGCACTGGGGCACCCTGAATCCCCACTGCCCCCCACTGCTGTGGGGGGGACACGGTCACAGAGGGGGACTTACAGGGGTTCTGCAGGAGCTTCTCCAGTGAGTCACGCCACTGCAGGACCTCCTCTGGGGATGGTCTGAAGGGGTAAAGAAAGCCTGGGTAGCTCATGCTCATCGTGCAGCAGGTGGTCATTCCTTAAAAATGGGGAGGGATGGAGTGAAGAGCTCTGGAGAACTGGGGTGATGGGTCGCCAGGATCTCTGAGGCTTAGTTTAGAAACAGCAAGGCGAGGTGCCACAAAATTGGGGCAAAAGGAAAGCACTCCCCACTGGGATCCGTGCAAGTCAGACAACTCAAGTCATGATTTTTAAAGTGGAAATGAACATTTGGCCACGTGAAGGATGACATGTGATGGTGACAGTGCTGAGGGATAGTAAGAGCACTGGGCCAGCAGCTCAGATGTCCTGACGCTCAGGCTCACAGTGGGGCTGGGCTAGGGGTAATAGTGGGGCTATTGACTATGTCCAGGACACCATTCTGCTTTTAGATTTAAGTTAACTTTTCTTTTAAAGGCTTATTTTGCCTCCTGACATGATTCTCAATCCACCCACTCCACAAAACTTGTGTTAAACGAACGTGTAATCTCAATGCAAACTGAGTTTTGTGAGAAAGCTGCTTTCCATGGAGCCATGCTGCCCAGCACCCAAACCCATGCTCACTTCACAGCCTTGGCTGGCTTCTCCGGCTTCTCCGGGTAGGGGATGATGAAGTCAATGGCCGAGTCAGGCTTCTGGAGCAGTATGCCCAACTTGGTCTTGATCTCCTTGGCCCTGCAGAGGTGAGCAGAGGCAGGTCGGGCAGGGGGACAAGAGGGACCACAGAGCTGCTGGAGTGGCACAGCCATGTGGCCAGGCACCTGGCCTGGTACAGAGCCATGTTGTTAATTACATGTGAACAAATGGACCCTGATGCTGTAAAGGAGCCTGTGTGAAGCATTTCAAGCCAGATGCTCAGAATTAGCCACAGCTTGTAAGCTTGATCTCTTTGTTTTGTCTCCATCTGTGGCTGGGATAATTGCATCACCTGTCCTGGCTGCCATGCAGATGGATTGGGGATGTCTGTGCAGTTTCTATAGCAATAAGTCCAGAGGAAGTGAGCAGGCAGCCTGCCCGTGCACGGTGCCTGCCCCATGTCAGCCTGCTCCCATGCACCCACTGCATTGCATGGCTCAGCTCTCAGTGGCACCTCAGCCTTGCGCCTGTAGCAGGGAGGGCCCTGCAGACCCTGGGGGCTTTACTGGAGCCTCACCACGGTGTGATGACAGAGGCCACGCTGCACATCTCCAGGGCTCATTGCACTTCTTATTTTCACATGCCCTCTGTGCAAAACCGTTCCCTTGCTCTGTCTGCTATTTCACTTCCACTCTTTTTTCTTTTTTTTTTTTTGGTCTGCCTGCAAATCTCTCTCTGTTTTGCTTTTCCACCCTCCACGGGTGTGTGCTGCCTGCTGCAGCCACCAACAGCAACCCTTACATGGAGCAGAAGCGCAGCCAGAAAACTAGCTTTTCTCAGAAAATGAATGCAGTGACAGGGACAGCTTCCATCCCTCGTGCTTCCAAGGCAGGTCAGACCCTGCCTGGATGGAGCAGGACCTGAGTTGAAGGGTGGTAATGTCCCCATACTCACCATGCTGAGGGGACCCTGGGGCTATGCCCCCTTGGCACCACCACCTCTGCCACAGCTTAGCTAGGTGCCAGGACTCAGGTGGGTGGGGGACGTGGGCTGTGCTGGCAGCAGGTCACCAGGACCCACATCTAATCCACAAGCATGACCGCATAACAAAGGGGAGAAGGAGACCAGCCATCTGTCCTTGTCTGAGCAGGACATGATGCTTCACCACCCTGCTACGGGTGCTGACCTGTACTGTGGGTATGGAAGCGGTCAGCATCACTTTACATAGCAGCACGTGCTCCTTGGATAGCATTTGGCCCTTGCTCAAAATCTTGCCAGCAATTTCCCATCCTGTAACAGGCTCAGAGCCAACACCTGTGTGGCACAAAGGGCACAAATGAGCACTGATAGCCCTCAGCAGCCCCACCTGAGCTCCCTGCCCTATATTTTAGGCTCAGGGGTGTACTATGGCCTCTTCTCCTGCTGTCCTGTTCTCTGAGCAGCCCTAGCTTTGCTCCACCCCTTGGTCTGGCTGTGATACACCTGGGGCTGCCTTGACAATGTGCCCTGACTGGTATGGGGAATGGGAGCAAGGACCTCCCCATCCTGAGTGTGTGTCCTCAGCTGTGGGGCCTCATTGGTGCACGAGGAAGCTCCTGAAATGAGGAGGGTTGCCAAAAGGACAACCAGAAGGGCTGAGCACTCACAGGCATGTGGGTGGGCAGAGTTATTTAAAAGACACTGTCCTAGAGTGCTCAAGTAGATGTGTCACCACTCTTCAAGCAAGCCTTCAGGAAGACTAAACAGTGGGACTGAAAAGGCAGCGATAAGCAAACAGGCTTTCTTCACAAGCTCCAGAGCGAGAGGAATGGAGAGACAATGAACTGTGGAATGTTATGTGTGAAAATACGTGGGAGCAAGCCAAGAAAAAGTCTGAGGAACAGCTTCCAAAAGGCATTAAGAGAAAATATGGACTCTGTCAAACACATCAAGATGCAGGCCAGGAGAGCCTCAAAGTTAGAAAACAAAACAAGAAGCTCAAAGACTTTAAAGCTGAAGCTGAAAGGCTGCAGCTCTTGGTTTGCTTCCAGGCAGTAAAGCTTCTGGGGCCGTTTGTACGGGGAAAGTTTTCTCTGGACAGGATCTGCTTGATGTCCTGACAGGTGGGAGAGGCTGAGGAGCGAGCAGCCACCAAGGAGCCTCAGTGGCATCGCAGTGCAATATCCCCACGATGTCTGGTGTGGGATGCAACATCCCTTGTGAGGAGATGGACCCTGGGGATTGTTGGGGAGCTGTGTGGCTGCACAGCCGGTGCAGCTTGAAATGTCAGCTGCAGCTGTAGCAGCTGGCTGTGGTGGACACATGGACAAATATGGAGTGTTAGAGAGGAGGCAGTGCAGTGCTGGCTGCAGGAGCAGCCTCCAGACAGGCATCTCAGCTCCCTGTATAGGCCAGCAAGCGTGTGCTGGGGGAGAGGGTGAGGAGGGACCAGTCCAGCAGGCCTCCAGCAAGACCTCCCCATACACACTGCAGGAGAAAACATTCCACGGTAGACAGCATGAGAAAGGTAGGAGCTGGTGCATGGGCAGCCTCATGAGGGTGAGGGAATGTGGGCTGAGATCTTACAGGAGGTGAGCAGGGTTGGGCTGAGCTGGCTGTGAGCAGGGTGGCTGCCAGGTCGCTGGAGCCCTGAGGAATGCAGGTGGAGCCTCATGCAGCAGCTCCTCTTCCAGCAGCACCTATGGAGAGCCCCTCCAGAAGCGTTTTGTAATGCACCAGAGCCTGAAGCGGAGGTGTCTGCCCCAAAATGCTCCCGTGATATGAAAGCAACCAGCCGGTGCCACGAGCATCATCATGGCCAGGCAGAGGTGGGACAGCAAGAGTGGGTGAACAGCACTGTGTACAAAGCTGAGCCTCGTGAAAGGGCTCAGGGCTGTGGTCATCGGGGGCTGAGAAGAACATAATCAGACAAAAAGGATTTTGGGGCACTTTAAAGTTAAAGGTGGTTTTGGTGCAGAGTGGCAACAGCGTTTCTGCTTTCCCCACCATGCTTTGCAAACATTACTGCTGCAACCCTGAGACCCACAGGAGAGCGCAGCTGCCACGTGCGGGTGCTGCAGAGCCCCATAGCTCTGAGCAGTGAAACTTTTCTGTGGGGACTTGCTGGCAGCCTCCCCAGGCACCTTGATGCATGCTCAGCCTGCTCCTGCACTAACAAAGCTGCCCTAAGGCTTCCTGGGAGTAGCAGCTCCCCATTCTCTGGTATGGCAGGTGGGGAGGCAGGACTAGATACTGGTCCTCTGTTCCACAGGCACGGGCAGAGAGACAGCATGGGGGAACTGTGGGGTCAAAAGGTGGTTTTTGGGGCACTGCAGCCTTGCGAAGCAGAGAGGTTTCCAAACCAGAGTTTGGGGCCACATCACTGCTCACCCTCAAGCTCTAAGCCACCCGCATCTGGAGCAGCCCCATCCCTTCCCTCCCAGTCCATAAGTGATGCAGAACCAGCTGCTCTCACCTCTCCAGGCATGTATGCGGTAGCGCGGCGAGTCCTTTGCACATCTTGGCACGCTTCTCCTTCCTCAGCTGCAAGAAAAGGGTGCGCGATGGCTGCGACTCGATCTGCAGCCCAGCTCTCCCTCTGACAGCTATATAGTGCAGTCAGCTGGATCCCTGCCAGCCCCCAACGCCGTCCCAACGCAGCTGGCCCAGCCGCCTCACGATTTTGTTTTCCCTTCTTCCAGCTTGCACGGGGAAATGCGTGTGCCTAGGGAGAGAGCAGGGAATGGCAGCACCAGGGCCAGGCTGCAGAGCTTGGAGAAACCCGCAAAGCTTCCCCTTGCTTGTGTACCAGGCTCGGGGAAAAGCTTCCCCTTGCTTGTGTACCAGGCTGGGGCAGTGTTTAGAGGAGTAACGCTGCTTGCAAGTGAATGTTTTTCCTACAAAAGTACTACCTGCATGAAAATCAAGTGCTTAGGAGAAGGATTTGCCTTTGAAATAAACTTTGTGATTAATGTCAAAACCTCCAGTTTCGGCAGTGGTTATCAGCAAGTGAGTGATAGGTAGCGTTTGTTCCAGAACAAGTTGTAAGTATAAAAAGTAAATGTTTTAATGATAACAAATGGTTTGGTTTTATGATGGTATCCTGGGGGGTCAGCCTGGCTGCAGGTGGCCCAGCACCAAACCCGTGGTCCAAAACTGCCCCAACACCTGCTGCAGATGTCTCTCATTCTGAACAGAGCAGTGTGTGCCCACCCACACATGGCCCCGGGGATGATCTGCTCTGGTTTCTGACCCACGTTAGTTAGTCATCATATATATGCTGCAAGGAGAGCCAAGCAACTCTTTGTGCTTTAACAATACTTAAAGTGGCAAGGGTGAACGTAACTGCCCTGGATGGATTTAAGCTCACCCCAGATGTGTTTTCTGCTCCCCAGCTGTGTCAGAGCTGTGCCCCTCTTTATCCCTGGGGCAGACCTGGGCCCCGTTCCAGTCCAACTCCTGCTGGTGTGCAACAAACTGGTGTCCACATTTGAGTGTAGGAATCCAAAGCTGGAAGTCTGCTAGAAACATTCAGGGCCATCTCTGCCTGCATGGAGAGCTGGACTTAGCAATTACTGTTTGCAATGACAGTGGGATAAAAGAAAGGACACCTGGGGTATCTGAGAGGATCAAGTGCTCTATCAGCCTGTTCCTGAGCTGTTATTGGCATAGAGATGATGCATCCTGTGCTGGAGACAGCCCAGAGCCCCATAGTCCCAGGGCTGTGGGGAGTGCCAGGCTCTGCAGCCTGCCTGCAGGTGCTGCTGTCACCCAATGGGGCTGCCAGGAGCGGGACGGGCAGAGGGCACGGCGGTTCTCACAGCTCCCCATCCAGGAGGGCAGCAGGGCCATGAGAGCCGCACGGGAAGCCATGCGCCCGGCTGTGGAGTCATGGGGACTGCAGTTGTTTTTTCCTCATTAATTTCCAGCAACGAAGCCAGGGTCAGCTATCCCGGGGGAGCTGGGATCTGTGGGAGCAGGAGGTCTGCATGGATGCTGGCCAGCAGACGCTGAGCAACCTTGCGTGCTGTCCGTCCAGCTGCAGCACAGCTCCCACTGTGCCAACCTCCTGCTGCTCCGAGGGGATCTCAGTGGCCCAGAGCACACAGGGATGTCGCTGCAGATCTATTCCCTCACCTTGTGCCTGGTCCTCCACCTCTTTCAGCCCTAGCTGGGTGAGGAGGGGCTGGGGAGATGCTGCGCGGTGCCTCTCTGCTGAGCAAAAACAAGGGTTGCACAGAAATAGCCGGTGTTTTCCCCAGACCTTTGTCTAGGAATAAATGTTTGTTTTGTCCATTTCAAGGCTTTGGAGTGCTAAGAAAATATTTCCTAAAAGGAATACACAGACCTTCTTCTTCTTCCCACGACAGCTTAATTTCTTTAAGAGCCCTTTTGGGAGAGCATTTTGGAGATCCAATGCCCCCTGAGGACCATGTCCTATGTACACAGCAACTGACATCCTCAAAGAGCAGTATGGGCTCGTGCCTTCAAGCTGCCCACTCAAAAGCCACATGGAATCTCCCATTGCACCGTATTTATTCTGGTTTCTGTTATTTCAGGCCTTTATTTTCCTTTCTAACAACTTGCCTTTTATAGAACGCAGCTTTGCTGCTTTGCAGCTTCCTGGTTCCCACTGGAACTTTCTGAAAATTAGCATCATATTTAGCAACACTGACTTCTTGGTGGATGGATTGCTGCAATTCTCACCCAAGGCACTCTCTGGCAATCCATCTGAGCATTCCCTCTGGCACTGGCCATTTTTTAAAACTATGCATTCTAAAAATGTGGTTAAAAATCACTTTTTCCCTTACACAGCCCAACGCTTTGGGACAATCACGTGTCCCTGAAGGAACGATGCTGGTGTGAGCTTGTTCGCAGCAGAGGCTGATATGAGTCAACTCCTTAAGCTTTCCTATGATGGCTCTCTCATAAAACTTGCTCATGTCATGCCCCACCAGGCTCTGTGGGGAGCTTTTTGCTTCTTACACTTTCGTGATTTATGTTTATGCCTTAAGGATGTTTTCCTCAAACCTCCTCAGTTTGCCTTTTACCTGTAACTTCCCAGAGTATGCATTCTTTATTTTCTTTGTCTTGTATGTATGCAATTTTTGCATCTTCACAGGTCTCGTTGTTTCAAGCATTCACCTGTTCTCCTCTGCTGAACACATCACCTTTGATAACACCTCTGAGCACTGGGATGCATTTACACCAGAGTAACCCAGCACTGCATGTTTGAGCAGCCTTCATGCTGCATAAGCCACAAACCCCTCCAGGTGTGTGTGTGTGCTATTCCTGAGCAGCCCACCTTGCATGTCCCCTTTTACATTAAGAATTACTCTACAGATCTCCTTTGGCTCTCTCTGGATCAGTCTCCCTGGATTACTGCTTGGTGGCACCACGTCTCTGAGGTACCAGCTTGGTGATGTGAACATTTGTGCGGGAGGACAGAGACCAGGCACCCATCTCTTCTCCCCATCCGAGTCACTGACACAGGGACCAGGGGGAGGTTGAAGAAAAGAAAACCCTGGAAAGCCACTGGGCTTGCAGCCAGATGGGAGCGCAGAAGTCACGTAAAGCTCCCAGCTGCAGAACCACCACGGTCCTTGACCCTGTGAGAGGCCTGAGAATGGCTTTGGTGCAGGGGATGGGATGCAAGAGGCTCCTGGGCAGCCCAATAGCCCTGCCTCCTTTGCCACGCAACAGAGCATGAGGATATGGGTGCTATGCAGCTGCTGGGATCACAGCCATGTGAAGGGTGCTGGTGCCTGGGGACAGCTGTGCCCCGACCATACGCCCAAAAGTGTTCCCTGAGGTGGCACCAGGAGATGCAGCCAGGCTGGCAACGTGCAGGTGGAAAGCAGAATTTCAACACAATTAGCACAGGCCAGTCACAGGGTTTTATTCAAGGTCTCAAGTCAAGGAATTGTTTAAATTATAAAATGCTTACCCAGATTTGCACCTCAGCTCCCCATTGTCCATGCAAACACTCCACTCTATTATGTATTATCCCATACATTCATCATCAGCCCAGAACAGAATCCAGAAGGTCAGCCAACCACTTATTACCACTTTTGCTCTATGTGCCTGGCTGCGGCACTGCCTTTCCCAGCTGATGAATGGCTTTGTTCTCCAGCACCTCCACCTTCTCCCCACTTGGCTGCAGCACACTGGCCACCATTGCCCTCGCCACTGTTTCTACAGGCACTGAGTAAGCAGAGGGGAAGAACCGGGCGCTGAATCCCAGAATCCGCTGTGTGATCCACTCCATGGGGCGGAACTCCTGGCGTGCACACAGCAGCACCCTGCGGGCAAGAAGGTGAGGTGGGCCAGGCTGCAGAGCCCAGCCAAGCTGGAAAACTTGCACTGGCCCCAAGTGGCTTCTGCAGGGTCTTGGAATGAATGGGCTGATCACTGAGAGCTCCTTTTACCCACAGGCTGCCAAAACCAGGATGCTGGTTCTCCCAGGTAGAGTATGGTTGAAAGGATACAGAAAAGCAGCCCCTCCACACAGGCTGACCTCCAGATGAAGTTAAGCTTCAACCAATGTCCCCCAACCTGTGCTTTGAGCCCAAGCCTCAAAAGCATGGCTTCGGGAAGGGCTGTGGAAATGGCTAGGCTTGTTGCTTATAGCAGAGGGGAAGAGGTGCAGGTAGGAGCAGCATTTGCACCTGGAGGCCCTCTTCACTTCCTTCCCAACCCTCCCCTAATGCACCCTGCCCATGGCTCCATCTCCCAGCCCTTTCCTGGCTCCGTGTCCCCTCTGCTACTCACGCTGGCCGAAGAATGGTGCAGCGGTCAAAGCCGACAGCCTCAACCAGTTTCTCCACTTCTCCCTGTCACAGTGGGGACAAAACAAGCTGAGGATGATCACAGGCACCTTGTCTCCCACCCTATGAATCAGGAAGAAGGAAGAGCTGAGCTGTGAGCAGGACACCGTGTCTGGCTGGTGCTGCATCCTGCAGCCTACCCCAGGACCCCCAGTGCACAACACAGCCACAGGACATGACTGTAGTGCTGGGGCTGACCAGCAGGGATTTAGCTCCCAGGTTTCTACAATGTGGCAAAGGTAAAATGAACACACAAAGGAAAGCTGCTGAGTTGGTGGTAGGGAAAAATATGGACACAAAAGCAAGAAGCAGAAGACTTGCTCAGAGGTAGGTGGCCAAAAAGCAGCAGTGGCTGACCCTTCCCCACCTGCCCAGCCACAGTCCCACCAGCCTCTGGAGGGCTGTGAGCACGTATGCTCAGTCTTGCATCACCTCTGTACCTGCCACCTGCAGGTATTGCCCAACACACAACTGGTGTGTGCCGTGAGCCGTGAGTAATCCTCCAGATAACTTAGGAGATGAGGGTTGCAGTAGGAAGGGCATAGAGCACCCAAACTGGCAGGAACCAGATATATTTGGCTATAGGTAAAGGTCACTCCTCTCCCATGCAGGCCACAACCATGTCTGAGGAAAGGGGTTTCTTGGAGTGCAAGGAAGGGAGAACCACCGAGCTGTCCCTGCTCAAAATGCAAAGCATTTTGCCAAGATGCCAATCGCCAAAGCAGAGGGCAGGGCAGTGCAGGGATCCAAATGGGGCAAATGGATGGGTCAGCAGAGAGCCCAGAAATTCATTAACAACAAAAACAAAACCCAGCTTTTGAGAGACAGCCCTAGGAAGCTCTCTAGGAAAGGACTGTCAGTGCCAGACAGCCAAACAGCAGTCAGCAGCGCTCCCTTGTAGCTGCAGTGCTAACTGCAGCAACAGCACGCGCAGTGGGCAGAGCAGGGCAAGGGGGGGGGGTGAGGAGGGAGGAGGGGTGGCAACGGGTTGCTGCCCAGCCCGGGCAATGCCAGTGTGACACACTGCAGACAGGAGCGAGTCCTGCAAGAGTGGGTGGTGCTCAGTAGTGTAAGGATGCTGAACGCCTGGTGTCTGCCCTTTAGGACGCAGCAGGGCACACTGCTGTGCTGCCAGCCCATCTCCTGGGCTCTCTGTTCCCCCTCACCAGGAGAGTCCTAGGTCCACTGGACCCCTTGCAGCCTCAGCCCCAGCTTCGTTCCCAAGTGTCCCCACATCTCCATCTCTAGGAGCACACCCAGCTTCCCTCCTCACCTTCACCCGCAGGTACAGAAAGCTGCTGCGCTCGTTCGCTCCCTGGGAGGACTGCAGGACGAAGTGTTTGCAGCCCCCTGCCCGCGCCAGCTCGGCTGCCTGTGCCACGTAGTCCCGGTCCACACGGACAAAGCCATCCTAGGGCAGGGCAAGGAGCAAGGTCAGCGACCTCTGACCGAGCAGGCACCCCAGCGGGAGCTGAGGCACCCACGACACATCCCCCAGATCCGAGCATCTCGCTGGGCGAGGCCATGCCCAGTGACCCCCTGGGACCGGCCAGGGCCACTCACCGCACCCGCTTTGCTCCGGGTGGTGCCCAGGCAGCAGAAGCCCACGTCGTGGCCTCGGAAGGCATCGGCGTGCTCGCCCAGCCGCTCGAAGTCCACCACCGCCTGCTTCTGGGGGAGGCACGTGGATCAGGGTGGAACCTCCAGCACGGACCCCGCAACCCCCGGCCCACACCGCACCACGGCCACGCCGCTGCTCTCAGGCAGGCTCAGCTGCCGCCTCCCGATCACCGTCACCCTGCTGAAGGGCCGCTGTGCGCACAGCTCCTGCAGCAGCGCCCGGCCCGTCGCCCCCGAGCCCCCCAGCACGAAGCAGGAACCTCCACTCCCCGGTGCCGCCATGCTTAGGGGAGGTGCCGCGCTGCAGGCTGGGCTGCGCTGCTGCCGCTCCTGGAGCTGCGGCTGCTGCTTTCCCCGCCTGCCTCAGCGCTCCGCCCTGCTGTCATGCCAGCGGGGGTGGCAGCAGAATGTCCACACCCTCAGCCTGTGCTGCCTCTATGCTGGGATCAGCTCAGTGAGAGCTCTCACAGAGTGTCACAGGAGGCCATCCTGCTCTGTGTCCCCAGAGAAATGTCACAGTAGGGGTACACGCCTTTCGAGCATCAAAGCCCTCAGGGCAGCACAGTGTGAGGCAGCCTTGTCCCAGGGGTAGGCAGTGAGTCACCCCCAGGTGCTGCCTCCTGCTCACGGGGCTCACAGCTCAGCAGTGATGGCAGCCCCAACCAGCTGTGCCTTTCCGGGTGCAGGCAGCTTCCCAGGACCTTGGGGCACCCGGTCCCGTTTATCCTGATTCCTGAGGAGGGAGGTGTGCAGCCTGACTGGCTGCATTCAGGATCAGCCCAGCAATTTTCCATCCTGCTGAGCTCTCCTTGGCTAGGAGTGAGCCTGGATCCCTGCAGCACGTGCCTCATGAGGGACATGACGTGTATCACAAGCATCACCCAGATAATGTCCAGCATCCCTCTCAGCCTGCCAGTCACTGCCAACACCCCATCCAACAGGCTGCACCCCACCACCACAGTCTGGCCCGGTGCTGGGGTGCCCGTGTTCACTGCAGCATGGATGCACGGGGCCAGCGCAATGCGGCGTTCGACAACACGGCCCAGCCTGCTGCCTGCTGCCCCGACTGGATGGCAGCGCTGCCTGACGCCTTGCCGCTCTCCCGCCTCTCCATCCCCGGCACACACGACTCCCTCAGCCTGTTTGGTGGCCGGCGCCTGCGCTGCCAGAGCTGGGGCCTGGAGGCCCAGCTGGCAGCTGGCGTGCGCTTCCTGGACGTGCGCTGCAAGCTGGAACAGGGTGAGCTGCGCGTCTACCATCTGTGTGCCTTCCAGCGGGTCAGCCTGCGGGGCGTCCTGCGTCGCACCCTGCGCTTCCTCCGCGCCCATCCTGGCGAGGCTGTGTTGATGCGCATCAAGGAGGAGCTCCCCTTCTTCCCGCGGACCCGCTTTGCTGCCCGGCTCCAGCGATGCTTGCTGGAGGAGAGCAGAGGTCGGCTGTGGTGCCGGGAGGAGGTGCCCACGCTGGGCCAGGTGAGAGGCAAGATCGTGGTGCTGGAGGCGCTGGAGCGGGCAGTGCTGGGCATCCCCTACGAGCGGCTGAGCATCAGCGATGCGTGGAACGTACTCTCACTGGAGAGGAAATGGGCACGAGCACAGCGGCACCTGGACGCAGCAGCCAGTGGGGACCCTGCCACTATGCACCTCACCTTCTGCTCCGGCAATGGGCTCTTCACTTGCCCCGAGGACGTGGCCCGCTTCGTCAATCCTCAGTGCTATCAGCACCTGCAGCGCTGCTCGGGGCAGCCGGTGTGCTGGGGAGTGGTCATTTTGGACTTCCCTGGAGCAGGCCTGCTCCAGCTCATCATTGAGAGCAACGTTCCAGGGACAAATGGAGGTGTGCCAGGTGCCCCCAGCACCCCACAGACACCCCAGCGGCAGCGGGGACGAACGCTGCAGGTGGCACCGCTGGGGCCGGTGTCTCCCATGCTGAGGGCAGCCTCACATGTCAGCCGACAGACATCAGTGCAGAAGGATGCCCGGAGATCCCACACAGCGCTGAGACACCTCTATGTGACATCTGTGTGACAGCGGCGGGGCTGGCAGTCAGAGGTTAGTGGCCTGAGCTCCTGCTGTGCATGGCATCCCTCCAGGAGCCAGGTATGGTGTTGGTGAGGTGGGGGAGAGCCCCAGCATGGGTCTAGGCCAGCAAGATCCGCAGTGGAGTTGGGGATAGAATCAATCATAGAACCGTTTGAGTTGGAAAGGACTCTTAAAGGCCATCTGGTCTGCAGTGAACAGTGACACCCACAGCTCCATCAGGAGCTCAAAGCTCCATCCAGCCTGACCTTGGCTGTCTCCAGGGATGGGGCACCCACCACCTCTCTGGGCAATCTGTGCCACTGCCTCACCACCCTTATGGAAATAAACTTCTTCCTTATATCCAATCTAATTTCCTCTCTTAGTTGAAACCATTTCCCCTTGTCCTGTCAAAGCAAAGCCTGCCAACGAGTCTGTCTACTTTTGGGACAGGAGATGGAATGGAGTGGAAAAGTCCTGTTCTTAAATGCATCCAGAGAAGGGCAACAGAGCTGTGAGGGGTCTGAAGCACAAGTATTATTAGGAAACATTTCTTCTCGGAAAGAGTGGTTGGGCACTGACACAGGCTGCCTGGGGAGGTGGTGGGGTCACCATCCCTGGAGGTGTTCAAGAACCATGGCACTGAGTGAGGGACATGTTCAGGGGGCATGGTGGGAATGGGTTGGGGTTGGACTAAATGATTTTGTGATTCTATAATAAACCACAGATGTGGAAAGCTAGAATGTGGAGAAGGAGGAATTAATTTCAAAATGACAGCAAAATATTGGGGACACTCTTGCCCCCATTATTTTAGGTGGAGTTATTTTCTTTGCAGAGTCTCACCCCACAAGTCTGGACTTTGAGAGAGGAACCATCCAACTCCAAGACAAGCAGCAGGACCAGAATGCAGGAGAGGTGTCTCAGTTCTGCACGCAGATGGCAGTGAGGAGAAGGGCGCTTTCCAAGGAGAGAGGTCCTCAGGAGCAGAAAAATAACCAAAGTCCCAGGGTTTGAAAGCATCAAAGCACTGCTGGCACTGAACACAAGAGGGCAGGAAGCACAAGGCAGGTCGCTTGCCTGAGGCTGGAAGGAGAGGAAAGCTCAGCCCTGAGCTGCCAAAAGGTGAAGAATGAACATGCTCAAGGATGCTTCTGTGTGCAGGAAAATGGAGCTGGCCTCGCTGCATGACCCGGGCTGCCTCCGGATTTCCTGGCAGGAGTACAGGACATTGTTTGCTCCGGGGGGCTGGCACCAGCCCGAGGCAGGGCTCTGATGGCTGAGAGCATTCATCCGCTCGTTTGCATGGCTCTTTGCAGAGCTGCATGGCTGCAGAGCCAGATCTGCTGGGGAGAGAGCCAGAGTAAGGGGAAGGGAAGAGGCAGAGGGAGGCAAAAACGTGCTGGGGGGACAGGCAGCTGAATCCACCTCTGGGCTTGCCCTCTTGAAATAAGACGACTTCATTAAAGCATTAAACCAGACTGTTGCAGTAGCACTGGTGATGTCTGGGGGACACAAGGCAGTACCATAAGGTCAATGAGTAGGGCTGCGTGGGACAGGGTGCCCCAGGCTGCACTCACCCTGATAGGCAGGGCCACTTGTTTACTGCTCACTACACCAGCACTGAGATAAAGTTTCCATTATCTCCACCCCCACCATCCTGTTTGGCAAATCTTTACCCATGCCAGGCACGTGCTGCTGCAGCCAGGCAACAGAAGCCAGCCTCAGGGGTGCACAGATGGCAGTGATGCCATATTGCTCTCTCTCCCTCCGTTTGCAGGGTGAAGGCACAAGGCTGAGATCTCCAGGGTCAGAGAAATGGCTCTGATGGGTATCAATAGGGCAAGGGGGACACGGTGTGGTGGGCAGGGTCCCCAAACCCCACTGCACCTCGCAGCCAGGGTTGTTTCACCTTGGGCATGCCAGGGACATTTGGGGACATCCCCATCCTGGTTCAACAAATCAGTACCACCATCTCGCCCTGCCCTGGTTGGGGTGATATTTCAGTAAACATGTCTTCCTGTGGCTAACCTGTTATCACTTTCAGATTCTGAGAAAGATTGTACCGCATGCCACACTGCAGGGGCACCAAGGCGAGATGCACTCAGAGGCACCTCCAAGCTCGGGACCATTTTGGGGACAAAAAGCCCCCATGGTGACACTGTGGAAAGCGAGCCATCCCCAGCCCGTGCCCAAAAGGTGCCTCCAAAGCATCCTGGCTCAGTGTAGGGACTGGAAATGGGGTGGCATGGGAGGAAGGAGGGAGCAGGGCTGCACCCGATGACTGCACCCTTTGGGGATGCCCCATGTCTCCATGCCCTGGGGACAGTAGGAGGTGCCCAGGAAGGTGCCTGTGGTATCACCAGAGGCAGCTGCTCCAGGCAGGCTGCGTCAGAGTGAGTCGGTTCCTCTGCGGTTTGCAGGGAATATTGCTCAAGGAGAGGAGAGGGTTGTACCACACAGGGATGGGGCCTCTGCCAAAAACAAGAGCAGTGTGCATGGTGAGGGGCTCCTTCCAAGTGGCAGGGGAGCAACCCACTCAGTCTCGTGATGCCAGAGGAGCCTGCAGGATCCCTATGAGGAGCATGTGCCGACACCTGCCCAGAAGCTGGCCCTAGAACACCAGCAAGTCAAAACAGGATTATCCCCCGGATTATCTAATTCCTGGGAGAGCTGCAGAACTGATTGCAATCCTCCTCCCCCTCTGCCATGTGTATCCCTCTCCTCTACATGCAAAGCATCACCCCTGGGTTCAAGGCTGCGTCCTTCCCCTTGCAGTGGCCACCTCCAGGTCTCAGCCAGTTCACTTCTGCTTTTACAACACCAGAGACTATTCGTAGCAACAAAATGCAATATTTTTTTTCTGTTGTTCTGCCCCACTGTGCCCTGTGCCAGCAGAAGTGAAACCAGCAGGGGCACAGCCCATTTTCCTCCTGCCCTCCCCTGGGGCCGAGCATCCAGCAACATCCCTCTGACTGTCCTAGTGCAGCAGCAGCTTCATCCCTCTCAGGGGACCATGGCTTCCCAAGGTGTGCCCCTGCCCAGCAGCCACCCCTCAGCTTCTCTGCCCACTGGGATGTCATTCCCTGTCCCAAGCACGGGAGCTGGTAAAGCAAATGCTGCTGGGTTACTGCACGTACAGAAAGAGGGAGAATTGCAGTAGAACATTTTGCAAGGATGATGACGAAGAACAGGAACAGAATTTCATTTACATTGGCCAGGCAGAAAGGCACTGTAATGAGTTATGGATTTCGTAGATGGGTTCCTCCTTTTGTGTTGTATGAGTCTCACTGGAGCATTACTTATTTCTCTGGAACTGGAATGTGCATGTGACCCAAAGGGCTTCTGCCTTGGCTTTAACTGGAAGTGAGCGGAGCAATTCCCGCAGAAAACCTTGCGAAAATGATACTACTTAGAAGTAGAATATGTGTAAAAATAGGTATATGGTGATACACCCGTACACAGTGGGTACCTTCCTGAAGCATCGGTAGATGTTCATAAAGGACATTTAATGGGGGGAAGTTCCCCTGTCCCTTTATGACCTTTCTCACAAAGATTTAAAAAAGCAGAAACGGGAAAATACATTGTGTAACTAATTGGTCTTGAGTGATATCCGGGAGCCACGCACCACACTCCTGCTCTGCCTGGTGCAGGTCCACACACCTCATCCTGCTCTCTCCTCTCTTCACTGCTGTCACTGACATGGTGGGTTGGAGGGCTCTGGGTGGCCGCACACCAGGCTGGCCCCTCGTTGGGGTCTCAGTCTCCAGCTGGCAGCAGGTTCCTGGAAGTGGGGAGCGCAGCTGGGCAGGATGCGGGCTGGCAGCAGGGCTGGGTCAGGAGGGGAAGAAACTGAGGGGAGGGAGTGATGCTCTGTGACTTTGCAGGAAGCGTGAGTAGCGCTGCCTGCCCAGGGCAAGGGCCAGGCACAGCAGGCACCCTGCAGCACCGCCGTGGTAGGTCTGCCTGCTCCTTCCTGCGGGGACAGCTGGGGTCTGCTCGGGTAGGGGGCAGGGAAGGTTGTGGGTGGGTACCTTGCAGTTGGCAAGGATGTATGCTCATGCCCTTCTCCCCAGCACACAGGGCACCACTGTGGGACAGCACTGCACTTGGAGGATGTGGGCTCTCGGCTCTTGTGGCGTCTGCTGCCTGGGCATCGCTGTCTTCACATGTGGTAAGGTGCCACCATGACCCTGAGGGAAGGGGAAACTGGAGAAGGGCAGCAGAGTTATTTTGGGGGCCCAGCAGACACTTGGCTTTGGTGCCTGCAGGATCTTTGCTTTGCATACTGGCACTGCAGGGGGAGAGAAATGTACTCTGTCCTAAAAATCCTGTGTGGTCTGGGTCCATTTACAAAAGACCTTTCGCAAACCAGCAGAAGAGCAGAGGCAAAAGTAGAAGTGTCAGGAGGAGACTGAGATTTAGGTCTGCAAGGAAAACAAAAATACAAATGCACCTTGAGTGCTGCGAGCACTGTGCCATGCTGCACAGGGCAGGAGGCATGGGAGCTGTCTGTGGGCTGCATGAGTTGGAAGAATGAGGCAGGAGTGTGTCTGCATGACAGGTAGGCTGTAGATTTGCTCCCTGGTCTTTCCTGGGATCTGGTCCTTTTTGGGATTCTTAGGAGAGGTGGTAGGGGCCAGGGCAGGCTCCCAGCAGTTGCCCTAAGTTTGTGCCCTGGTAGCCCTAGCAATTGAGAAGCTGGGCTGCTTTTGGAGAGCACATTTTTCTTGCTTTTGTTTGACAAAACAGGTAGTTGGATCTTCCACAAGGAAAACCAGACAAGCTGTAGGGATTTTGCATAGGAAAATGTATGATAACTGGCCTAGCTAGAGCCCTAGTTATATCTGTGAAGCCCTGCATTTGTATTTAATCTGCAATGCCTAGACCTTTGCCTTCACAATGAAAGTGTAAGATGTGCCCTCCCGTGACAGGGTACCTCAGGCCTGTTTCTTGGAGTGACTTTGCTCCCCACCTTTCTTTTGGGCTGCTTTCTGCAGCTGTAGGCATACCTGCTTTAGGGAGAAGGAAGGAAGATTTATTTTTTTGGTGGCAAAAACTTCTTGATTACATCAAGTTGTGGTGGGAAACAGAAGCAGTATTTCATCCAAGTGCCTTCCTCTTCTGGGCGTGGGTTCCAGTTAATCTGGGCTTTGCCTTCCCTGGTGGGCATGGCCAAGACATGAACTGCTTTCTGCAAGGCTGTGTTTTGCAATGCAGTGTTCTGCGGCTCTTTGGGCCACCTCTGGATCGGGGATGCAGTATGGCATGAGGATGCTTTTGGGCATGGGGGCATGCTTGGTCTTCTTTCTTGTGCAAAACTGACCCTCCTGTAGAATTGTAAATTAAATAAAGTAGGGAAAACAACTAAACAACAAAACCACACGTGTGGAGCAATTTTACATTTGTAGAAGGAAATGTGTTTTAAGGAACTCTCTGGGAGACCTTTATGGTGAGGGGAGCCCCAGCTCTTTCCTATCTTCCTCATTTCTCTGCTGCTCCTCTGCCCCACCATGGCTTGTTCTGCCATGCCAGATTCTTACACATCTCTTTGAACTGTTTTCATCCACACTTCCCCTACTTTTTTCCTCTGGTTGCTGGTGGCTCTTGGCTCTGGTACCAGCCTCAGGTCCCCCAACCCTGTTCCCAGACCTGCACTATCTTCCTGCAGCAATCCCAGACCACATCCTCTCCCGCAGGCGTGGTGATGCAGGTTGGGGCCTGGACATACTATTACAGTGAGGAGGACTATGAGTGGGACGATGCCAGGACATACTGCCAGACGTTCTTCACCGACCTGGTGGCCATCCAGAACAAGGAGGAGATTGAGTACCTCAATCGCACCCTGCCCTATCATGGCAAATACTACTGGATTGGCATCCGCAAGCTGAGAGGTATCTGGACCTGGGTGGGCACCAAGAAAGCACTGACAAAGGAAGCGGCCAACTGGGCCACCGGGGAGCCCAACAACCGCAAGTTCAACCAGGACTGCGTGGAGATCTACATCAAGCGGTCGTCAGAGGCAGGCAAGTGGAACGATGAGCCTTGCACGAAGAAGAAGAAGAAGGCACTGTGCTACAAGGGTGAGTGTTGAGAACACGGGGAGGGCTGGGAGCAGGACAGGGCACCCCTTGATGATGGTCAATGTGCACAGTCTCCTGCCAGCCCCTGATCTGCGGCCTGCATGGTGACTGTGTGGAGGTCATCCAGAGCTACAAGTGCGAGTGTCACCCCGGCTTTGAAGGGGACAAATGTGAGAATGGTGAGTACCCAGCAGGCTGTGCTTGGGACTGAGTTGCTTGTCCTGGATGGTGCTTGGGGCTGTATATCCCCCAAAGACCCCTCTTTTGTTGGAAAGCTGAACCCCCAGCAAAGAGCACGGGTCTGTCGTGCTGCTGACAGGCTGTGGCTGCATCTCTCCTAGCTGTGCAGTGCCCCATACTCGAACCCAGAGGAGCATACATGAACTGCAGCCATCCGTTTGGAGACTTCAGATATAACTCCACCTGCACCTTCTGGTGCCCAGAAGGGTTTGAACGGCGAGGTGCGGATGAGCTGCAGTGCCTGGCTGATCGGCAGTGGTCGGTGGAGACCCCCACATGCACAGGTAGGCACTGCCATGGTCTGGGGCTCTGGAGTGTGGCACTGATGCTCAGCATCACTCCCACAGTGCATTCTGGTGTGTAGATGAAGAAGCAAACCCTTGCAGTTTCCCACATGAAGATGCTCACTCCCTGTTTGTGTTGGTGTACAGCTGGTGTCCTGGTACCTCCATCATGCTAGAGGCACTGACTGCTCCTTGGGAAGGTGCTGGGTGCTTCAGAAGGACTTAAAGAAGAGAAATGGGAGCTGTCACATGGCTGGGGGAGGGGTGCACCCTGCCTGGGTTGGGTAGAAGGGCAAGAGGCGGTGCGTTAGGGTGGAACAGGGCAGGCAGGAAACCACTGTGGAGAGAAAGCCACAAAAGAACTGAGCTGTGGTGTGTTATGCAGAGAAAGTCTTCCTGTTGGTACTTGAGGGCTTGTAGCTGCTGGTGTCCCAGAGGCATTGAGCTGTTTTGGCTTGGGGTTTATGTGGAGTCTTGCTCCATCTGCTCTGTATAACAGGTCTATGTGTGGTTACAAGGATGTGACAAGACCTGAAGCAGGTACAGGACACAAAGGGGTATCTCCTGTATGGACAGCCCTAGCAGTACACACACTTTTAAAACTGGCAGCGCTAATTGCAAGGCAATCTCCTAGTGAGGCAGTGCTAGGCAGGCCAGTGGCCCAGGGATTTTTGCAGATAAGGGAGCAGGCACCAACAGCTGATGTGATGTCATTTTTGTGGAAGTCCCCCCATGCACCATACAGCAAGTTGCCCTGACCTTTCCTGCCCCTGGCTTTCCAAGTTCCCACATCTTGTTTTCCAGAGCACAGCTGTTTTTTCCTGCTTGATGTATGATGGATTTTTCTTTTCTGCAAATAATCAGCTGACTTGGTTGCCAAAACTGATAACAAAGCTGTGTTAGTGAGCATTGACAATTTGGCTTATTCTAACACCAAGCACAGGCTCTGGCTGCAGCAGGGTTGGACATGCCCTAGGGCACTAGAGGGACATGGGATAACACAACTGTGCTCACTCCATCCTCACCAGCTCTGCCTGCATCTGGTTGTAGCTCTCACCTGTCCTGCAGTGGTGGATCCTAAAGGACGCTGTGTCAACTGCTCCCACTCACATGGAGCCTCTGCCTTCAACTGCATGTGCATCTTTTCCTGCCAGGAGGGCTTTGAGAGAACAGAATTAGAGAGGCTGTGGTGCCTAGCTGAGGGCGCCTGGTCAGGCTCCCTCTCTTATGGCAAAGATAGAACCAGTGCGCCTGGGTGCTGGGTTGGGAGGTGGGCATCCTGTAGGGAAACAGGCTCTGTGTAAGATGCCCATAGTCTTCTGCCATGGAACTGTGATCCAGAGTGTGCCAGGGATAAACCAAGTCCTGGTACAGCAGCAACTGCTTCTCATGTGGAGCAAAAATCACTGTACCAACAGTGCTACTGCTGTGTCCAAGAAAGTGAGGCTTGCCATCTGGTATTGAGGTAAGAAAGGAAGATCAAAGACTTGCCACCTCAAATTTGAGTTTATTAGGTTGGGATTAAACACTAATCCCTACATTCAGTTCCACCCAAATCCTGCCCTACGACCTGTTCTCTTGCAGCTATCACCTGCCCAGAGCTCAGAGCTCCAGAGCATGCAGAGCTGAACTGCTCCCACCTTCATGGGAACTTCGCTTTTGGCTCCATCTGTGACTTCTCCTGCCAGCCAGGGTTTGAGCTCATGGGGTCACAGAGTCATGAGTGCATGGCCACGGGGAACTGGACTGGAGACATTCCACGTTGCAAAGGTAGAGATGCTGCTAGAGCTTTGAGATGACATTAGGATGTTCTTCAACCTCTTAGTCCCAGCAGTTCAACCCCACAGTAACCCAGCTCCTGCTCGAAGTGTGCCTCTTCTCCCTGCAGCTGTCACCTGCCCAGTACTTAGTGCTCCAGAGCATGGAGAGCTGAACTGCTCCCACATCCATGGAAACTTCACCTTTGGCTCCACATGTGACTTCTCCTGCCTGCCAGGGTTTGAGCTCATGGGGCCACTAAGCCATGAGTGCACAGCTATGGGGACCTGGACTGGGGACACCCCACAGTGCAAAGGTAGAGCTGCTGGTAAAGATGTCACTGGCCTGAGATTGGCTCTGGGATGTTCTCAGCTGCATTAGCCGTCTCATCCCAACAGCTTGAGTGTTGCAGCTCCCTGGCTCCTGCTTAAGATGTGCTTCTTTTACTTTTCAGCCATCAGCTGTCCAGTGCTCAGAACTCTAGAGCATGGAGAGCTGAACTGTTCCCATCCCCATGAAAACTTCACTTTTGGCTCCATATGTGATTTCTCCTGCCAGCCAGGGTTTGAGCTCATGGGGTCACAGAGTCATGAGTGCATGGCCACGGGGAACTGGACTGGAGACATTCCACGTTGCAAAGGTAGAGATGCTGCTAGAGCTTTGAGATGACATTAGGATGTTCTTCAGCCTCTTGGTCCCAACAGTTCAACCCCACAGTAACCCAGCTCCTGCTCGAAGTGTGCCTCTTCTCCCTGCAGCTGTCACCTGCCCAGTACTTAGTGCTCCAGAGCATGGAGAGCTGAACTGCTCCCACATCCATGGAGACTTCACCTTTGGCTCCACATGTGACTTCTCCTGCCTGCCAGGGTTTGAGCTCATGGGGCCAGTGAGCCATGAGTGCACAGCTATGGGGACCTGGACTGGGGACACCCCACAGTGCAAAGGTAGAGCTGCTGGTAAAGATGTCACTGGCCTGAGATTGGGTCTGGGATGTTCTCAGCTGCATTAGCCGTCTCATCCCAACAGCTTGAGTGTTGCAGCTCCCTGGCTCCTGCTTAAGATGTGCTTCTTTTACTTTTCAGCCATCAGCTGCTCAGTGCTCAGTGCTCCAGAATACGGAGAGCTAAACTGCTCCCACATCCATGGAAACTTCACCTTTGGCTCCACGTGTGCCTTCTCCTGCCAGACAGGGTTTGTGCTGATGGGGCCGCAGAGCCGTGAATGTATGGCTAAAAGAACCTGGACTGGGGACACCTCACGATGCAAAGGTAGAGATGCTGCTAGAGCTCATAGTGTCACTGATACTACCACAGGGCTGCCTTGTGCTGTCCTCAGCTTGTCAGTTGTCACTCAGCAGCCCCAACACCACATGCACACACAGGCCCATGATTCTCACCAGTGTCCCCCTCCACAAATGGTGACAGCACAGCACATTGCATCAGCCCTGAGCTTTCAGGGTGAGAGCTATGCCCCCAGCTTGCCCTCTGCCTGCATCCAAAAGGCAGCTCCCAACTCTGTTGTGCTGTTCTGTGCACTCCTGATACTCTGACACATGCAGGCACATCACTGAGGTGCTGCCATCATGTCCCAGTAGTGAAAATCCTCTGTCCATAATGGCCACCTCAAAGAGTTGGCACTGACAGCCCTGCAGAGCAAGGGACTGGGTCTGCCAATACTTCCCTGTCCAGGCATTAACACTCCTTGAGACCAGAACACCATCCCCTGCACCTAGCAGGCACAGTCTGAATTGACCCAGAACTTCTGGGTTCCCCATCTCCAGACATGAACAGGATCTGCCCTGAGACCTGCTCTCCTTGCAGCTGTCACCTGCCCAGTGCTGAGTGCTCCAAAGCATGGAGAGCTGAACTGCTCACATCTCCATGGGAACTTCACCTTTGGCTCCATATGTGACTTTTCCTGCCAGTCAGGGTTTGAGCTCATAGGGCCAGAGAGCTGCGAGTGCACAGCTATGGGGACCTGGAGCAAGAACACTCCACAGTGCAAAGGTAGAGCTGCTGCTAGAGTTTGGGTGTAACTGGTATGGGGATGGCATTAGGATGTTCTTTATCCTCTTGATCCCAAAAGTTCAATCCCACAATTACTTGGCTCCTGCTTAAGGTGTGCTTCTTTTTCGTGTAGCCATCACCTGCCCAGTGCTTGGTGCTCCAGAGCATGGAGAGCTGAACTGCTCCCACATCCATGGAAACTTCACCTTTGGCTCCACATGTGACTTCTCCTGCCTGCCAGGATTTGAGCTCATGGGGCCAGTGAGCCATGAGTGCACAGCCATGGGGACCTGGACTGGGGACACCCCACAGTGCAAAGGTAGAGCTGCTGCTAAAAGAGCCGTTCACCTGGAGTTCACCTTGGGATGTTCTTGGGCCTCTCATACCAAGGATGAAGCCTAGCTGTTCCTTGGCTCCTGCTTGAGATGTGTTTCTTTTTCTTTTCAGCCATCACCTGCTCACTGCTTACTGCTCCAGAGCATGGAGAGCTGAACTGCTCCCATGTCTATGAGAAATTCACCTTTGGCTCCATCTGTGACTTCTCCTGCCAGACAGGATTTGAGCTGATTGGGCCACAGAGCCGTGAGTGCATGGCCACTGGAACCTGGACTGGGGACACCTCGCAATGCCAAGGTAGAACTGTGGTGGTCACATCTGCTCCTGGACTGTGTACCCTGATGAAGAGCTGCCCCTTCCCCAGGATATATCCCCAGTCTCTCCTCTGGGAGATAGAGGAGCTGAGCCCTGTGCACTCAAGCGGTGCAAGTGGAATGGAGCTGTGTAAGGATGCAGTGATGGTGCCCCCATTGCTGCCTTTATCCTGACACTTTCTGTGACCCCAGTAGGGCTACGCACAGTGAATACGTAGCATCATGAGGAGGCAGACTCTCTGAAATCTCCAGTTCTTCTGAGAACTGCCAGGACACTGCCCACTGCTCTGTGCTAGCAGATTGCTTTCCCCAGAATCCCTTTTCCCTGAGCATCCCAGCTCATCCCCTGCTCGTCCCCTGGCTCTCTAGCCCCTGTGCCCTCATTCCATTGCCAACAATTCTGTCTCATCAGTGTTGCTGCTGTGCTCTACCTGCAGCCATCAGCTGTCCAGTGCTGGATGCCCCCAGCCATGGCCACCTCAACTGCTCTCATACACATGGGAACTTCACATTCAACTCCACTTGCAGCTTTTCCTGCAAAGAAGGATTTATCCAGATGGGAGCAGAGATGCTCAGGTGTTCAGCCACAGGGAACTGGACCAGGCATCCCCCAGTCTGTGAAGGTATGGTGGGGCTGTACTTCCCAGCCTCCTGCAGTACATCTTGAGGCTGGAGGAGGCACGCGGCATCTTTGTCCCTGTGGAATTCCTTTGATAACAATCTGAGTGTTTGTGGGCCTTTTTCAGAGGATTCTGCTGCTTTTTTGAAACAAGTTCTGGTTTACACCAGCACCAGTGCCCTGGCAGCAATTGGCCTTGTGCTTTCCGGAACGCTCATCGCCTTGCTTGCCAAGCAGCTCAGCGACAGAGGTACTGAAACACCTGTAGCCAGGGGGTGCTTTGGCTAGGGACTCTCAGACCAGGTGGTTACAGAGCCCCAAGGGAAGAGTGTTGATCAAAAGAATTTATAGATGTGACTGTCTCATTCCACGTTCTATGTGCTGTGGGTTGGCCCAATCCAGCAGCATCTCCCTGGCCCTGGGTCCTGCTGAGAGCATCAGCCACAACTTGGGGGCAGAAACAGAAAAATGCCATCATTGTTGAAGGGGCAAAAGGCAATTATTCCAGGATAAGATGGAATGGGGTTGCGTGACAAATTTGTTTTGGTTTGCCAAATCCTACTGCTGCTTCTCAAACCTTCACTAAAAAGATCTGACTCTTTCTTTTGTATCTGCACTCCCCATGGACACTTCAACACCACTTTCAGAGGAGAAGAAGAAGCTCCTGAACCCCACCAGGTAAGATTTGTACTTGGCAGGAGTGTCTCTAACTGCAGATGGGTGGATATCATAGTGGACCCCTCCCTACTACCATCACCTCTACCCGCATGCGTGAAGCTGCCTGTACAGCAGTAGGAGCATAGCTAGGGGCTGATGAGGCTGTGCCAACTGGTGTGCTTCAGAATACAAGGATTCTTCAAGGAGTCTCTGCAGAGTGCAGCCTCTGGGGGGAAACGGCTAAGACATGAGTGCTTTTCTCATGCAAGTATGATGTTTCCTATCTTTTTTCCCCCCCCAGCTGACACTCTTTATGTTTTTTTCCCAGTGACCTGGGGGCACCAGGCATCTTCACCAATGCAGCCTATGACTCCACCTTGTAAGGTGAATGCCAGCACAGTGCTTGCAGCACACTGGAAGGTGTGCATGAAAAATCCACTGCTTCTGGGCAGCACGTGGGCTTATCTGGATGGAAAACTCAGGGAGCATAAGCCCAGCCACCTCACTTGTGTCACTTCTCCTATCTCACTGCAGGCAAAGCGGAGCCAGAAGCACTGTCCCCACCAGCTCCGAGCCCTGACTGCACTTCGCTTTGCCCTGCAGACCCTCGCTGCCTGCTGGCCTGAAGCTGCACTCGGGGGCTGGGAGGGCAGAGCTGTGTACCTGCCCTAGTCTACACCCACGCGTGGGCAAGGCCGCTGAAGAGCAGCAGGGACGTGGAAAAGCGGACTGTAGCCCCCCTCCCGTCCCCGGCCTGCTGCTGGGGCCGGGTCCGTGCCAACGGGCTCTCAATAAACGCCTTTGCCCTCGACCGAGGTCCGCGTGTGCTCCATGGGAGGTGGTCACAGCGTAGGGGCGGAGCGCGTTCGGGCGGGCCTAGTATGTCCTTCTGCGGCCGCCGTAGGGGGTGGGGCTTCTGCCGGAAGTATACGTGTGCGGGAGTAGGAAGCCGGAAGCGATGGCGGCGGCGAAGGCCGAGTGGGAGCCTATGGGGCTGCTGCCGGCGGCGGGGGGCGGCCTCGACTGGGGTGAGAGCGACCGGGAGGGGTTGGTGACCGGGGATCCGGGATGGGCGCGTGGCCGGGCGGAGCTCGGCTCCCTGCTCGGCACCCGGTGCTGAGGCCGCTATCTCCCCGCAGAGACGGTGCTGGGCGAGGAGCTGGGCGAGCTGCTTGGTGCTGCGGAGTCGCGGCGCGCCTCGAGGGACGAGCCCGACGTGAGTACCGGCGGGCCGGGGCGCTGGGGCGAGGGGAGAGCGGCGCTGCGGGGCCGTGTGGCCACGGCTGGAAGGCGTCACGGGCACCTGCGGGCCGGGCGGGGCTGCCCGTCCCTTCGTGAATTGTCAGTGGCACGGCGGTGGGTTTGGAAGTCGCGTCTAAAGGCACGCGTTTGTCTGTTTGAGGGTTTTCTCTTCAACCTTGACTCCAACGCAGCAAATTAAACCCTGTGCTTTTTGCTGTGTGGTCACACCTCCTTCTGGCTCTGTCCCGGGGCATTTGCCTCGTGGATTTCCCACTTTCTGTGCCTCTTTCTGCCTTTCCTCTGTCTGCTGTGGCCTAACACACAGCCTGTGTGCTATCTCACATTAGTCCCGGGTAGTATGAGCATTCCTACAGGAGTTGTAGGACAGGCACTAGGGAAAACTTGGGAACTGCTGGATTGTTTGAGGCCAAGCCATCGCTTTTCAGCATATTAGCATCAGTTACACGTGGGAGACTCTTACTGCACAGCTTGAGCGGTGGCTTCTGCTCATTCCTTTTCCTGGTGTGCTCTGATGAGCTTTTTCTTCGCCCTTGCCTGCAAATATCCGTTTTTGTGCGATCTGTGGACTTTCTGAACTACCCTTTATGAGGCAAGCTGAGAGTTTAAAGGAAGATATGTTTTCAGGAAAGGTTTTAGCAAGTAAATCCTACCTGTGTATTTATATAAACTGTATGTACAGCGTTAGAGAGCACTCTGTTTTTTGTGCTAGTACTGATAGGAATGTTACATTTTGATAGAGAGCTGAGGTTTAGCAACAGAAAAATGTGAAGCAAAAAGATGGCTGTTGTTTCAAGGGCTGTACAGTAACTGATGTGTAGGAGGTGACTTTATTCTCCTTTTTTTTTCCTGTTGGATTGTGGAGCCAGTGTCTCTGGTTTTAGAAGGTGGTGATGTCAGTTTATTCAAGTGTAGAGAGGCCTGATTCATCTCTGAGATGGTCAGTATGTTCCTGAGCAAATCACTCCTTGTGTCTCTCATTCTCTCGTTAAACTGATGCTGACACTATTTTTGTTTACAAGGTGCTTTGAGATCTGATGATGAAAGAGCATTAATCTTTCAATGAAGGTGAAGGAGAGTGATGGCAACGAGTCACCAATCCTGTAATTTATTCAAGGTGGTTCAGTGACTTCACTTAGAACTTTTGCTTTACGAATGACTGACAACAGGACGGTAATCAATGGTATTCTTGAACAGAAATGCTCTTATCCTACAGCTCCAGGCTTTAAAAGAAGCCTCATCTCATGGATTCCAGTTGAGAATGTCCCTCTTAAGGCTGTGTTCTTAAGGCAACTGAAGTGATAGTCCCTTTGCTTGTCCAGAAACGTAAGAATGAGAACGTAACAGCTGATGGTCTCATTGTATATTGCCTTCTTCTCTTGTTTCTCTTTCTGAACAGTCATTTCAGGAAAATGATCTGTGTAACTTTCATTTTGACTTGGATTTGATGTCCTGGGACTCAGACCTTTGGAATATTACAAGCCACTCTTATTCAGGTAACTTACTAGCTAGATTTTGCGGGTATAACAATTCCATCCTGCTCCACAAGGGTGAGCTGTTACAGCTTTATGGTACTGGTAATTTTTGTGACTCTATTTGATCTAGTCCTATTGTGAGAAGTTATGCTGTATTTCTGTAGCATGGGTACAGCTGGTAGGAGCTGCCCTACAATCTAAATATCTTTAATCTCACAATTTTCTGCTGTGTTTTGCTTTGGGAATTAAATAGCTGGTATAGAGTAATGTCCTTCATTGATTTCCCCTTGTAAAGAACTTGTACAGAGAAAAATTCTTTATCTTTTGCAGATGCAAATGTGAAGACGGAGCCCTTATCACCAGCCCCTTCAACTTGTTCAGTCCCTTCTCCATCATCTGCGGACTCTCCAGTGCAGAATGTGCCTGTATGCAGAAACCTCCATGTAACATAGATAGCAAGATTAATTCAGGCCCAGCTGAGAGAAGCAAAAAAACCTATTGATTTATCTATCTGGTTAACTTCATAGCATAAAAAGAAACGAATTTTTTTTTTTTTTTTCAACCCTTGCAAAAACAACTTTCCTTCAATTATGTTTTCCTTCTTCTAGTCCTGTAATCCATTCCTAAAAAAGCATGTTCAGTTCTGTTTCCTCAGTTGTGTTTATTGGCCTGTTTGCCAAACAAAATACCTTCTAAAGGTGTCTGAGTCTAGCATTTGCTGGTCTCTCCACCCTTTTGTTCTGCTGATATAGAGTGGTGCTGCTTTGGTTGTCAGTGGTACTTGGCACTGAATAAGATAGCAAAGGAAAGCGTTTCTCCTGTTTCCTTCAGTAGCAACACCTGTGATGAAAGACGGTTGTACTGTGAATTTCTTGTAGTCACTTTTATCTATTTCTGAAGTAGTAGTCTCATCTACTTTATGTTTGCAGGATGATATGGATTTCAGCTGCAGTTCCCAGCTGTCTCCTATCTCCCTCTACTGCAAGAGCTCCAGAAGCCCTGTGTCCTCTGAAGGAGATGCAGAGAAGAAACCGATTGTTGGCGTCACTTCTCGGTCCGGTACGAGAGATTCAGTTGCTTAGATTCCACACCTATAGATACATCAGTTTTAACAGATATAGATGGACAATGAAACATACCAAAGGCCACATTATCACTACTGAAATTTTTCACTTCAGAATTTCTGATCCAACTCAGTCTCTTTCTTTCCCTAGCGAATAATTCTGTGAAGACTCTGAAGAAATGTGGTCAGACAGCGTCTAGGCCATCAATACAACCAAAGCCTCTTTTGCCTGCTGTACCTGAGGCTCAGGCTAACATTGGCATCCCAGCTAAAACAATCATTATTCAGACACTTCCAACACTTGTGCCACTGCCAAAGCATCAGCCAGTTGTTAACATCCAGCCAGCACCTCCCAAAGGTAGGTGAATTGTCATCACGGAGCCAAATCCTGGGGATAAACACTATGTCTGTTTGGGATAGTCTCTAGATTGAAGTTACGTGTGGCAGGTGAAACAAGAGGGGTAGGATTATGAGAAGAGTGATGCATGCTTTGCTGAAAAAGCTTCATGCTAAGAAAACAACCTAAATTCTGTCTTATGTATGCTTAGGAGCATACTCAGCATTAGGAGTCATGGAGATAAAGCTGCTGATCTGGATGGATCTCTAGGAATCTTTTGCTCTGTTCTACTTGTGATTGGCATAAGGTTAATGCATAAGGTTAATCCAGTTGTACTCTGTTTTATCCAAAGGAAGATCAACAGAGTCAGTAAGGATGACTGAATGAAACTTGAAAACATGGGAAGGAGGAGTAAGCCATTTTCACCCATGTGAAACATGAGTTTATGGCTTTTTATATAACTAAATAATATTAAATAAGCTGTTACAAAATCTGCTAAAAGTTATGAGAGTGGTGTTAAGAGTTAGAGTACTTCCTTAAAACTATAAGCTGATGATAACAAGGTCAGATTTCCTGTCCATCTGTATGTTTTCATTCATCCTGTTACTCTGTAACTGGTTTATTTAAGCCTGGGTCTTCATTTCAGAATCCTGACCATTATTTATTCTTCTGCCAAGAGAGCAGGAACATTACTTGCATTGCAGAAATAGTCAGATGCAGTTGCTTGTTTTCACCACCTGATGGCTGCAGATTCTTGCAATTGACTACACAGCCGATGGCTGGGAGGGAAAGGAGATAAATACATTCTGTGAAAATATCTAGAAATTATTTTAATAGTGAAAAATTTCTTTCTTACTAATTGCTCAGCTATCAAAGGAACTGAGCCATGGCTGGACAGGCTGACATTTGTTGCAACATGCTTAAGGCTGATGGTCTACTCAAAACAGGTCAGCGCAGTCAGCGTGACCTAATTCTTACTGTCTGATGTTCCAGCTGATAAAATACCATCTGGAATAAGGGATGTTGGAGGTACAAATTTTTTTTGTTATAATACAGTGGTACAGCTTCTTTTCCCTGAGAGCAGCTTGTATGAGGCAGTAGAGGTAAAGAACGTATTTACTTTGACGGTGCACTTTAGAATTCTTTAGTGCTATTTCTATCACAAAAACCATAGGGATTTTTTTCATTATTAAAAATTCTCTGCACGTGGCAGGAGCTGCCAGATTAAAACGTGCCATTAGTTTCAAGGAGTGTGAAGAGCAATACCTTTATAGGCCTTTCCATGAAAGCTTAGAAGAAGAAAGCACAATGTTAGACCATCACATGTTCTACGTATAAAAAAATTGTTGGAAGTATCTCAAATTTGCCATTTGAAGTTGTTGAGTAGGATAGTGCAAGCTTACTGTGCCTTTTAAGATTGTCTGTGCAATAAGGAAACCTAATCCTACACCTCAAACATAAGACCTTGGAGTGCTAGGTAAATGACTTCATCTTCCAGAAAGTTGGCTAAGTGTTGTAGTACAGAGTCGTGCATATTGATTGGAATGTCAGCTGGAATGTGCTGCTTCTAAAAGGCAGCCAGGTCATCTTGTTACAAAGGATTAAAGAGATGTTCATGTGCTTTCATGCAAGAAAATATTACTCGAGCACCTGCTTGAGTTAAATGTAGTTCTTGG